GTTTTTCCTCTTAAATCTGGGGTATTTCCCCTTAAATACGGCTTTTTTCTGCTAGAAATCCCTGTATTTCCCCTTAAATCCAGTGTTTTCTCGCAGAAATCCCTGTTTTCAACTTAAACATGGCTTTTTCTCCCAGATATCCCTGTTTCTTTCGTTAAAACAGGGCTTAAATATGGATTTTTCTGCCAGAAATCCCTGTTTTTCCATTAAATCTGGGGTTTTTCCCATCAAATATGGCTTTTTCTGCTAGATATCCCTGTTTTTCCAGTAAATTCGGGGTTTTCTCCCAGAAATCCCTGTTTTTCCTCTTATATCTGGAAGTTTCCCCTTAAAAATGGCTTTTTCTCCCAGAAATCCCTATTTTTCCTATTAAATCTGGATTTTTTTCCCCTTAAATATGGCTTTTTCTCCTTGAAATGCCTATTTTTCCCATTTAATCTGGGGTTTTCCTCTGAAACATGGCTTTTTCTGCTAGAAATCCCTGTTTTTCCCACTAAATCTAAGGTTTTCTACCAGGAATCCCTGTTTCTCTCCTAAAATCTGGGGTCTTTGCCCCTTACATGTGGCTTTTTCAGCTAGAAATCCCTGTTTTCCCTTTCAATCTAAGGTTTTGCTCAGCTTTGTTATAAGGAGTCGTGGGGGACAGTATCAAATGCCTTGCTGAAATCAAGGTAGGCTACATCCACTGCTCTGCCCCCATCCACCCAGCCAGAGACAACATCATAGAAGGCTACCAGGTTGGTCAAGCACGACCACCCCTGTGGGGCGGGCATATGGATATGGGATGGATGCGGGATGGGATATCGGGAAATGGGATCTATATGGGATGGGCTCTGGTACGGCATGGACTTGGAACGGATGTGGCATCGTAGAACCACAGAATCACAGAACTGCTCAGGTTGGCAGATCAGCGCTCCCTCTGAACTCGGTGCCGTCTGTGAACGTGCCGAGGGTGCCCTCAGTGCCCTGCTCAAGAAGCGCCATGGCATGGGAGGGATCTTTACGCCTATCTGCACAGCAGGCCCTGCTGCCCCTGCTTCACCCCTCCCCAGGAGCTGCCCCTGCTGGAGTCTCTTCTGGCCGTAGTGAGCCAGGGCCATTCCCCTCCATCCACCCTGCCTGCTGCCCCTCCCCACGGCAATTCACAGCACTGGGCAGCGCAGGAGAGCTCTGTGAAACGCCCTCTGCATCCCGCTGCACAAAGGACTGCAGGGAGAGAGGAGGGCTGGGGCTGCTGGTGGCAGCTGAGGGACGCCGTGGGCCATCCGTGGTGCCCATCCTGCCCCGGAGGCGGGTGTGGGGAGCTGGGGGGCTGTGACACGGCGCAAATGACTGCAGGCAGAGGGACGTAGCAAATGGAATGCAAAGCTTTTAATAACCTATCCTAGAGTACAACGAGAAACAGAAACAACAGTAATCCTCAAATTCCAGTCCCACCACAGCTGAGCAGCCAATGTCCCATCCCACTGCTGTGCTGACTCTGGAGGACAGCAGCTCGGTTGTGGAGGGGAGAGATGGGGCCGCTGGCAGTGCCCCTGCAACGCTGCCGCTGCTGCCTGGTGCTGCGGGCCGGCGAGGAGCGCATGTTACGGGTAGCCGTACTGGTCGGCGATGGCCATGTCTATCTCTCGCTGCAACAGGAACTGCACGGGGCCGATCTTCATCTGCTGGGCCGCCCGCTGCCGCTCTTCCTGGGCCAGTTTCTTCATGCGCTCCCGCTCGGGCCGCTGCTCGGCTGTGATGGGCAGTGACTCCTCCACCACCAACGGTATTGCACCGCCACCTGCCTGCGGCCCCACGCAGGGCACAAAGTCCACGGGGTGCCACGGCCGAGGCTGCTGCTGGTGCAGCGCTGGTGGTGGTGGTGGTGGTGGCGGTGGGTCCCTCCGCAGCGCCGAGCTCCTCTGCGGGGATGGGCGCGGGCAGCTCGGCGGCGCCTCCTTGGCAGCGCCCTCCTCCTGCACCGTGCTGCCTGGAGCTGTCGGTTCTGCCTTGTGTGTGTGGCTGTCTTGGGGCTGGAGGGCAGCAGGGCCAGCGCTGGCTGAGGGTTGGGGCTGCACAGAGGGTGGCTGGTGCACCGGGCCCACCGCAGTCACCCTCTGCCCCAGCTGGTGCACAGCCTGGATGCATTGCTGCAGGTGTTTGCGCAGCTCGCTGGCAGTGCTCGCTTGGCTGCCGCTGGCTCCTGTGCCGGCCCCAGGCAGCCTCCCTTGGCACGGCTGTTGGCGGCCTTTTCTCTGTGTTCCTTCCCTGCAGGGCAGCAGCTTCCTTTTCTTGGCAGGAGCGCTGCTGGTGGGCTGCTCCTGCTGGGAGCTCTCCCCTTCCTGGGGATGCCGACAGGCGCAGGGCGCTTGGCCCCCCGCTTGGTGCTGCCCCTGTTCTTCTTTTCTGCCACCCGGCTGGGGACAGAGCCTGGTGACGGGGACGATTGAGCCTGAGCCTCCTGGGGCTGCCTTTGCTGCACCTCCTCGGTGGGCTGTGCGGTTTGCACTGAGGGAGGTGCGCTGACAGCCAGGGTGGTCGGCTGTGGGCTGAGCCGGGTGCTCGCTGGTGGCACGACGGGGCACTGCTCTGACAGCCCACACTGCAGCTCAGGCAGGAACCCAGGGGATGGAGGAAGCCCCCAGAAGGGGTCGGTGGGCGTCCCGATGGCAGCCTGTGTGCTGAGCTCTCTGCTGTCCTTGGGGTTGTCAGGGAGCTCAGCGATGAAACATCTGGGAGCAGGGCTGCTGGGGTTCTCATGGGGGACCTCAACAGCTCTTGCCACGTCTGAAAATGCAAAGGCATCCCCCAAATGGCCATGAGAGCCTTCTCACACCCACTGTGCAAACACGCACCTGCAGCTCTGCAGCCCCAAACTCACCATTGATCCAAGAGAGCAAACCCTGGATGTCCGTGATGCCCGCCGGCACATCCGAGCTGCTCGCCACTGCTGGGAACAGCAAGAAAAAATCCCAAAGAGTCAATGCCAGCTCTCCTGTACCACGTTCACAGCAAGGGATCTTGGGTGAACGTTGGGTTCCCATCATAAATCAGGACAGGAGAGGTAACTGTAAATCCCAGGCATTGAAACCCCAAGCAACACGCAATGAGAACAGTCCCAGGAAAGAACAGGCAGAAAGCCTAACTAGAAAGACAGTGCACCAAACCCAGATGCCTGCGGTGTGTCTCTACCTCTCTTGGGTGCTGTGCCACACTCCTGCCTTTCCACAAGGTTGCACTTCAGAGGAAGGCCACTGGCATCAGCTTCTGACAGAAAGGAGACAAGAAAGACATGAAGAGCATCTCTGTGGAGGAAGATTTCAGCACTGCCCACCACAAACTTCTGGTCTTCAGCTGCAGTTTTGTCAATTTACTTTTCTGCTGCTGCAGCCTTGTGCCACTTCTGCAGTCAGCACAGATCTGCAGTCCCTTCCTCTGCCCTCCATCACAGCAGCCCTTCGTGCAGCCCTGTTTAGAGGCAGTGCCCACACCACAGCTCACAGGAGCTTCTTACCTGCGGAGGCTTTCCGTTTCCCCCCTTGCCCAGCACCGTTCCACAGACGCACAGGTTTTGTCCCTACAACAACAGATGGTGTGTTGATTTCACAGACACCAGCAGGCAGCACAAGTATTGTCCAGTGAGCCCATGTCCCCCCAGAAAACAGAAAGATGCTACTTTGACAGCCCAAACACAACTGAGAGTTCACTTCTCACTGCCCCTTCCTGCACTCCCAATGGATGCTTACTTGACATCGCCTGCAGCGCTGCAATCTTCAGCTGCCTGGATTCCTGAGTTCTCCTTTTGGAGAGGAACCCTACAAAAAGCATCAACAAGTGAAAAATCACGAGGAAGAAGCATTTTCCCAGCTTTCTTCTGCCATGCAATGTCGTCTCTTGAGGAAGGCAATGCTTGGAAATCAGCTGGCTGCAAGAACTGCCTGCCCATCACTGGCTGCAGCTGGTGTCTGACTGCCATGGCTTCTGTCAGCAGGTGCCCCCAGGTCACTTTTCCCCCACAGGTGTGCTGACCATCCATGTCCCCAGCTGAGCACCTGGCTCTCTGCCGTGACTTCAGCGCGGTTTGCTGAAACACCTGCTGGGTATGGCACACCAAGCAACCCACGGAGCAGGGAGGCACAAGTTGCACCCTACGAAGTCTGCGCTCTGCTTCCTTTTTAAGGTCTGACATGAAGGTGGGGCCGGCAGCAATTTCCCAGGGGACGAATGACTTTTCACCATCCTCACAGAAACGTGGGATGCAATCTGAACAAGAGCCATTTCCCCTGGAAACGGCCGTGCTGAGGGGCACCACTGGAGCTGG